TGGGTGTATGAAATACCGACCGAATACACCCGTCTATAAATTTGTCGATAAATGTGGCAGCTACTATCAAATTCCGATGGAGTTTGTCCGTCGGTAAGTCGGTCGGTGAGTATATGAAATACCGACCGAATATATCCGTCTGTACATTAGTAAGTGTGGCAGCCACTGTTAAATGCCAACGAAGTAATTTCATTGGCAATGCGATCGGTGAGTGTATGAAATCATTGGTAATTATTTTTTTTTAAATTTGTTTTCAAAAAATTATTTAGGATATATAATATAAAACTGTGTAAATTAATTGTAATACAAATCTATTATGCAAATAAAATTTATATTAAAGAAAAAAAAAAGTTAAATAATATTCATTACAAACTGAATATGTTTCAAAAAAAATATTAAATGAATTTTTAATGTTAAATAATGTTTATTACAAATTAATATAAAGGTGGAGCTAGAGGAGGAGGAGGAGATCCTGGAGAAGGCTGGTGGTTATACGGCCAAAAAGGATTAGGCGCACATGTTCCACTATTTGCTATGTTCATAACCATTTCACGGAGCTGTTCATAAGCCGCTTTTTGTTGCTCTTGAGACGTTTGAGGTGCACGTACTTCGCTGATAGGTGGTCATATTTCTCGGTGAGCTGAGCCTTATGTTGCTGCAAGGCCTCGAATTCCTTAGATTTGGAGTTCGATATTGATTAGGAGCTCCTAACGGTTGAAACACTACGGGTCGACCGCAAGTTATTGGCCGGAGTGTTAGAGAGCCTGTAAACCCGATTTTTATCGGGTCCACCTAAGGAGCCAGCCTCCATCCACAAATCCGGATTGAATTTTGGATGGTTCAAAATATCATCTCCATATCTCTCCCTCAACCGATTATTATAGGTCTCCTGAAAAAAGAAAAAAAAACAAGTTATCATCATATTCAGGATGCTTTGATATCTGACTCCACTGAAACAATGGAATCTCCATCGATGATTTAAATGCCGATGATATTACTCAGGCGGCTTAAATGTTTGTGAACCTGGAAATAAATGAAATAAATTCAATAATGATTATTTCATAAATTATGTTGTAATATAAAAAAGAAAAAAACTAAAACCTTAACAAACTTACATTGAAAGGTCATCCTTCCATTCTGCCTCGTACTGGCGGGTAAATTGATTCCGCTGCGAAGGCACGCCGTCTCTGCGCTGTGAAGTAGCGCTGGAAGAGGCAGCTTCGGTAGATGGCGCAGGTGGTGTAGGTGCCTCTTCTTCAGAGGCACCTAAGGAGATATCCCCATCGCTGCTAGACGAACTAGCCACAACTTTACGTGAGCGACCAGCTCTAGTTTTTGATCTACGCATCTACATAATTTTATACAAATAATTATATAATTAAATTCAAATGTTAAAAAAAAAAATTTCGACAGCACCTCCCCTATACTGGATACTACCCAAATCCACAAACTTACACATATTAACAATAGCTACAACCAATTTACCCAATCTAAACTAATTATTCCAACATATTCAATTCCTAATCCTAAGGTAAATTCAACATTAAAAATTACAATTCCACAAATTATTCAATAATTATACCAATACAACAAAACAATAAATTAAAAAAAAACTCTAGAATAACAATCAAAATAAATCGAAAAAATTAAACCTAAATCATGCAATAATAAAGTAAGATTAATAATTATTCCAACATACTCAATTACTAATCCTAAGATAAATTCAACATTAACAATAAATATTCAACAAATTAACTAATAATAATTATGTCAAAACAACAATAAAAAATATTCAAAAAATTAAAAAAAACTATAGACTTTAGCAATGAATTATGCAAACAAGAACTACGGATTTTATCTACATTACAAAAAATACACCAAAACAAAAAAATAGCAAAAAAAACCATTAAAGTAAAATGAAAAAGAAGAAACACTAACCTTTTCAATTGATGGAGATTCACCACAAAAAAAGCTTGATATCGCCGATGAAGAAAGGAGATCGGAACGAAGAGGAAAAGAAAGGTGAAGAAGTTTGAAGAAGAGAAAATGAACTAAAGAGGCGGACGGGGGCACTTATATGGCAGTTTTACCGAAGATCATATGCTAGTTTACATATGCCATAATTCATAACAGTTTGATGTAAGTGATTTTTTTTTCTTCTCTTTTTTTCTATTTAGATTTTTATGACAACCCATTAAATATTAAAAAACAACCATTTAACTTGTTGGTTCTTTAGATTTGGTCAATTTTCTTTATTATTATTATTATTATTATTTTAATTTTGAATAATCTATAAAATTAGTGTGACTTTTTAAATTTTACCCTACTATTTTTTTATCTTTTAAATTTGATCCATGTTTTTTTTATTTTTTTCCTATCAAATTTAATCTCTACTCTTTTAATTGCTTTTTAATTTTTGTTTTCGACAAGTTTTTAAAATTGATATTTTTACATTAGCTTAAAATCCGTATCTTGGATTTCAAAAGTTGCGAGTTTTTAAAGTTTGATCAAATTTAGGAAGTTTGCCCTGGTTGCTTAGTTTTATAAATATTTTTTAGTTTTATTTTTTATAATTTTTTTAATCACTATTTATTTTATTTGGAATCATTTTATAATTTTTTTTATTAAATTATATTTTTATTAGATTTTTTCTAATAAAATTTATCCTCAAGTTCAAGTCACTATATTTGTTTAAGTCTATCTAACATGCTTAGAAATCGGATTATGATGGGATTTAAGATGCTTAAGAGTAAAATTTGGATCGGTTATGAAGCCTCTAAGATCAAACCAAGATCAAGTCATAGGGGCATGAAGGTTGGGCTACAACTAGATCCAAGCCACCCTAGTAATTGGGTTGGGATTAGGTCTTTAGTTCTTGAAGGCGACGACAATACTAGGTCCGAGGGACCTTGGTGATTGGGTCAAGATAGGTGTTGGGTGCTTAAGGGTCAGGTCGAGACCTGGTTCAAGAAGCTCCAGATATACAATCGAGACTAGATCTTAGCCATCTTAAATGGTTAGGCAAGGAACGAATCCCAAGAGCTCGAGGGTCGAGCATGAACCATGTTTGGTGTACCTGATAATTGGACTAGGACTTGACGATGCTGGACGAGTCAAGTTATGATTGACCTAAGGTACAAAGGCTCAAATCAAGAATGGATTCCGAACATGTCTTACTATTTTAGATAAAATGCATATTAGTATTATTAACTTCTATCGTATTGAGATTAAGTATATTTGAAGAAACTAAAAAAAGTTAAGTCAAACAAGTTTTTTATTTTTAACAAAAACAAAGAAAAAATAAAAAACAATACCAAACACCTCTAAATTATTTACTTGTTTAATATTTATTATCAACAATTTTGTTTCACATATTGGTAAAAAAAAATTTAAGAATAATACCATACTTTTATATTTTTATCATTAAAATTATTATTTTACTCTCACATTTTTTTTTTATCGAAATGGAGTTGGTCTTTGTCCTGGAAATTCAAAGTTGACCTTTTTTTTAACTATATCTTTTAGTTCAAATCTAATTCATTCACAGATTTCTGGAGATTTCTTTCCCCAGTATAGAAGAGTGGTAATATTGTTTGCAAATATAATTTTATATTTTTTAAATCAAATCAAATCAAAAGAGTTTCGTGACCTTTAAAATGTAAA